CTATGCCAGGAATGACAAATTGAAGAGGAATGGTGTTGCATTCATTGTCAAAAAGAACATATCCAGATCAGTCATGAGATACAATGCTGTAAGTGATAGGATAATATCCATGTGACTACAGGGAAGTTCAAGGAGCTCTGGTAGTGTAGTGGTTACGAATCGGACTGCTAACCTCAGGGTCAGCAGTTCAAAACTACCAGGTGTTTCGCGGGAGAAAGATGAGGCTTTCTGCTCCCATAGAGATTTACAGCCTCAGAAACCCTGTGTAGGGTCACTATGAGTCGGAACCGACTCCACGGCACATAACAACAACAACAACAGGTAGACTCGAAAACCTTTGCGTAGTCAATAAAGCACAGGTAAACATCTTTCTACGCTACCAGAGCTCCTTTCGAGTCTACCTGTTGTTATGTGCCGTGGAGTGGGTTCCAACTCATAGCGACCCTGCACAGGGTTTCCGAGGCTGTTAATCTGTACGGAAGCAGAACGCCTCATCTTTCTCCCACAGAACCACTGGTAGTTTTGAACTGCTGATCTTATGGTTCGCAGCCTGATTCGTAACCACTACGCTTACCTAGAGATACCTAAAAAGAAAGGCTGGAGATCTACTTCTGAAAAAAAATAGCTGTTGAAAACCTCTAGGGGGCGCAGTGCTACTCTGACAAGCAGAAGGTCATTACGAATCATCTCAATAGTAACTGGTCTTCTGGCTTATCAAAAACAGACAAAGAAAATTCCACAAGCTAACATGTAGAAGTAGGGTATTTTTAAATATTATGTCTTGTGAGGTTGGTCCACAACCAGGCAGTGTTTCATTCTGTTGTGCATAAGATTGCTATGAGTCAGTACTAATTCAATGGCACCTAAAAACAACGTCTTGCCCATGAAGATCATCACTCACACTCGCTTGTGGCCAAATTTCACAGAATTCCTTGCTGGCTGGTCTCCTTGGAACCAATCACATTGTTTCTGGATGTCTGGGGACAAGTAGAAAGCATTTTCACCTAGAGAGAAGCAGGGGGAAGGAGGAACATATTTTAGTTTCATTTGAATCTCAGGCAAATTAAAATCTATGAATGAGAACTGACCGGACAGCATCTAACAACATTATGATTCCTGATACGATAGGACTTCTTCAGACAATACCTCTGCCTGGTGCTAGTTAAGGCATGAGGTTAAAGATAGTCTTCACTCAGCATGAGCGAAAAAACAGGAAACAAAGACAAATCAGTGCAAACTCAAACTGAGCATCAAATTAGAAGAAAATTGCTTTATTTCCCCAATACTTTCTCTAAAAAAAAACTTCCCCCCCCCAAGAAACAGTTTTTGCCATTTATAGAAATATTATAGGGTGTTCAGATTTACAATGGAAAGAAAGCATAAAGTAGAATTCACGTTTAAAATATCAAAAGTGAAGAGAAACAGATTGTTTTCTTAGGGTTCTACTCATCTTGGGAAAAGCTGATGTTTCATTATTCTTTTAATACTCTTTACTAAAGATCTTGAAGCGCTTTCCCATCAGGGGTTAAAAAAATAATGAAAATGATACATTTTAATAGTTAGAATATAACTTTTTAAAATGCTTTAGATGTTTTTATCTACAAAAAGTGGGCAAACAATACTAAAATTATTTTCCTAAATTTGTACTATTACTGACTCTTGACTAAAGGTTTTCATTAAGTACACTGAATTAACTCACCAATTTTAATACAAATATGCCTTGTTGTTGTTAAGTGCTTTTCAGTTGCTTTTCTGACTCATAGTGACCCTGTATACAGCCTACAATGAGTGGCCTGTGGGTTTGAACCACAGACCCTGCAGTTAGCAGTTCTGTGCTTATCCCACAGAGCCACCCCAGGACTCCAAATATCCCTTAAGTTATTTTAATTACACATCATTAAACTACTTACTTAGATGTCATCTACATCATAAAAGAATTCTCCAGTTATTAAAATACATACTACAGCTGTTGTTGGTAGTCCTGGTGTGGCTCTGTGGGATAAAACACTGGGACTACAGGGTCAGTCTAAAAAACCTTTTTAAAATAGCTTTTCTTTCATTTTTTTCTTTTTCTTTTTGAATCTTCTAAGGACAGAGACAATGACCCTAGGTAACTTGCTGATTCATCTGTGCTTCACATTTTTTTCTCTAGTTCTTTTGGAGAGTGTTGTTGTTGTTGTTGTTAAGTGCAGTCAAGTTGGTTCTGACTCATAGCAACCCTGTATAGGGTTTCTGAGGAGCGGCCAGTGGGTTTGAACTGCTGACCTTGTGATTATCAGTCCGGTGTTATTAGGACTTCACAAGCGAATATTTTCAGAGTTTCTGTCATTTTTCTCCCTTGGAGTGGCTGGTGAGTTCGAACCACCAATCTTTCGTTTAGCAGCCAAGCACTTAGCCACTGTGCCACCAGAGTACCTGAGTCTTTCAGTATGTGTATATTAATTTACACTTTAAAAAATCTGCCTCATCAGAGATGATGAGGTAGAGAGATGGAGCAGTTGGGGACTTTAGACACAGAGAGGGAGAGGGGCTGTGTGCTGACGATCCGGTGGGTAGGGGAGCAGGCTTGTAGTGTACACCCTTTGGTTGGTTGATGATGCATGGAGGAGATTGTAACCATAGCAATGAAACTATATACGATAGGATGAATGTAAAACTAATGTTCTCCTACATAAACTATCACATAATTCACAGAAAAACATTAAAAAAAAAATCTGCCTCGTATGTTCAGTATGTTTCCATGCCTACTCTCAGTGGTGTCCCTAATGGAATGTGGGGAATAAACTACTCCTCAAAGAGCCTGCTGGGACCACAGACCCATAAACAAGTGACTTTCAGGCCCCGTGAGAGAGGCAGAAAGCATGGTGACATAGCATCCGGGTCATGACCCTCAGGACTGTGGTCATCCATGGTGAGCAGGGATGGGCGAGCTGGGTTTCCAAGACAAAGGTGGATTTGCCACTCAAGGCTCGGGGCAACCCAAGCATAAATCCAAGTCCCTCCTAACACCCTTCCTGAGTACTAAGGTGTGCCTGACAAGAGCCCTGGTATTTCTGATCGCCTCATAAGCAGGTGAAAGCTGGACAATGAATAAGGAAGACTGAGGATGCACTGATGCTTTAGAATTGTGATGTTGAAAAAGAATGCTGAATTTATCGTGGATGGCCAAAAGAACAAAGAAATCGGTCTTAGAAGACGTGCAACCAGAAATGCCCCTTAGAAGCAAGGGTGGCAAGACTTGATCTCACATACTTTGGACATGTTATTAGGATGGACCTGTCCCTGGGAAAGGACCTCATGCTTGGCAAAGTAAAGGGTCAGTGACTGACACCATGGGCCCAACTATAACAATTGGGAGGAGGGTACAGGGCTGGGCAGTGCTTAGTCTGTTATGCACAAGGTCACTATAAGTCAGCACCAATTCAGTGGTACCTAACAACAGTGTGACGTGCCACATGCTAGATCCTGCACACTCTGTGTAGGTGACTCATTGCTCACCTAGATTGTACTGGTAAATTGCAATTGCAATGACACACAGCTTCACAGCTGGGAGGTAAGTTTGGCTGAATAAACCAATAAGGAAAGGGATTGTGTCTGCGCTGTTCACAGATACCTCTGGCACCTAAAAGATGTCCAGCACATAGTAGGTGCTCAGGTATTTGTTGAATGAATGAACGAATACGTTAGCATCAGCACCTTCACTGCCCTTCCCATGCCCATACCCCCCTTGAATAAAACCCTGACCACGGCCACTGACAAAGGACTTACTGCTAACAAAGGATGGGAACAGCCGCCCGAAACGCATCAAGGGCTCCTCGTTGAGCTCCGTCGACTTGTCTGCGAGCTTGAAGAAGACGTCGTTTGGCTCACTGGCGAAGCCATACACCTCCTTGATGTTCACCTTCCGACCAATGCCCAGAACCACAAAGAAGTAGCCTCTGCATTTGGCTTGTAGGATGACTCTCTGGGCCTCCTGCAGATGCTCCTTCTGCATCTTACCCGTCAGCATCAGCACCACGATTTTCAGGTCCCGTGGGTTTGGCGCGCTTTCAAAGACGTTCTCTATGGTGTACTCGATGGCGCTGCCCAAGGACCTAGTTCCTTGCAGCTGGATCATCCGACTGCTCAAGAACTCCACCAGCTTCTCCTTGGAGCCGTAGTCGGTCAGGGAAAATTCTACCTTCACAGGAGGCACGCTTGCGTTCCCCATGGACGCATAGGGTGCATGCTGTACCACCGCCACTCTTGCAAGGTGCTGGGAGGACTTAGGGTCTGGGCTCATGTCCAGCTGTCTGACCACATAGGCAACGTACTTCTTCATCTCATTGAACTGGAACAGTGTGGTGGACTCAGAGCTGTCTAAAATGAAAGCCATGTCGATGTCCATGTTGCTGCCAGCTGCCCTCCTGTCCCTGAACGATGGCCTCCAGTTGACAAAGCCACAGGATGGGTCAATGTTGCAGATGTCTAGAAAGAAGTATGGAAAGCCCATTATTCTGTGAGCCCCAGGTGGTGGTGGGCGAGGGGACAGGCTACTGCATACCACTCCGCTAGAAGTCTGAGGCCATTTAAACTATCATATAGTATAGAAAGCTATTTATGGATGGTGGAACATATCAGTCTTCAAAGAAATACAACCAGAATGCTTCTTAAAATCAAGGATGGCAAGACTTCAGCTCACTTACTTTTGGACTGGAGCTCCAAACCGGTTAGAACAGGTTCAATCTTTACTGACAAAGGGAAAACCAGAACAGATACAGCTTTTAAAATTTCCGGTGACCTGGAACACTAACTAGAATGGGACAAATTATAGGTTGGAGCCCTGGAGTGGGAGACTCAGAAAAGGCAGAGGGAGCCTGATACAGCAGATGGGATTCAAACAAGGTGAGGCCACCATCTTCAGTGGACACCACTGTTTCTGACTCAGCTTTGGTTGCTATGCAACACATCTGTGCACTGCCCTTGTTTTTCAAGAAGGAGATTGTTTCTAGCAGAACTTCAGGTCCATGCTGGTGTCATTTCTGTGGCCATAACTAATCTAGGCTGAGCTGGTTCAAAGCCCTGCTTTGAACATGTCATCAGGAAAGACCTGTTGTTAATGAGGACATCATATTCGGCCACCACAAAATGAGGGGAGCCCTCAATGAGACAGATTAGCACAACAGTCCCCGCCATGGGCTTCACTCTACTGTTGATCAGGAAGGTGACACAAGACTCAGTAGTCTTTTGCTTTGTTGAGCACAGGTCATCTATCAACAACTCTGAACAACAAATCCACTTTGTCATGGATTCAGTCTTCAACATCTAATACTTCTTAGATGAGCCAAATCAAAAACAAAAACCCTTGTTAGTGTGTCATGACAAGAGAAACAAAAAAATACCACTCTGAAGAAATGCGTTCTAGAAAAGTCACTAGAACCAGACGCTGAAATTCTGGATTCCATGTTAAAAAAAAATTAAGCGAAGCCCCCTTTATATTTGGCTACCTTTAGAATGAGTGGTGTCCCATCAATGAGACGATCCACTGGAAGAGCCACTTTAAATATGGGAACTACGTATGCAGCATCTGCATCGGTAAGTGAAAGGCTCTGCTAATCTTGATTTAACTCAAACTGTACACACGGTTCATAATTATTCACTCAAAAGTCCTTGTATGCAGTGGTTGACTTTGCAGTCCAGGAGCAAATGTCCCTGGGACCATCAAGGGAGAAAAGCGGAGTCAAGACCCTACCCAGAGAAACAGTGACGCCAGAGATGGAGGCAGAGACGATGACATGGAGAGATGGAGTGGCTGGGGACTCTAGACCCAGAGAGAGAGAGGGGCTGTGTGCTGATAACAACCAGGGGGCAGGATTGCAGGGTGTACCCTTTGGTTGGTTGATGATGCATGGAGGGGTTTATAATCACGGCAATGAAATGATATACACTAGGATGAATGTAAAGCTAATGTTCTCCCACGTAAACTATCACATAATTCACAATAAAACATTAAAAAAAAAAAAAAAAAGTCCTTGTATGCCTATCACTTACTACAGCTATATCTGGAGAGGAACACCTTACCCAGGCACACATGACAGGTGAGGACATTCTTCAAGAAGTTGGTGAGGTCCCTCCGTGCAGGTAAAACGAGTGCATGTCCCACTGCGGTGTTATTAATCTGTTTACAGAAAAGGAAACCACTGGTTGGAAGGCGCATGACAAGTAAAAGCAGAGCTGAGGAATGGATCCAAGTCATGGACATAAAATAAATGTTCCAGTACACTGGTGTCCTCTAGGTTTGGATTGGGGTTTGTTTCACTTTGGATTTTCTTTCTTTCTTTTGGGGAACGGCTAGTGGGGGAGCACGAAGGATAACAGAAGATCATAGGTTCTGTTCTGATGAAAGCAACTGGTGTTCAAGTCCCTCTCCTATGCTTTCTGCTTGAGCTAATAGCAACAGTATCAGACCTCTCTGGGACTTAGCTTCCTCAGTTGTAAAACGGCAGTAATGGCATCTTCCAAGTTGAGTTCTTGGGAGAATTAAATCAGATTGTGTGTGCCAAGGGCCAGTCTAACAAACAATGAGGACTTCATTATTTTTACCAATAGCAAAGGTTATCTCCATCTGTCCCCATCTCCCAGGTTTAGAAAGTGAAGTCAGGACAAAACAAGTAATGAAATCCTTCTTACAAGACTCTGAAAGTCCCACCCATGTGATCCTGCCTGGCATCCAATCAGCAAACACTAACTGAAGGATGATTTTCCAGTCCTGCTGAAACTCTGACGCTAGGAAACTATGTGTTCTGTGCCACTCAGTCCGCACCAGGAAAGATGTTCAGCAGTGGGCCCTCACAAGTATGTGTCTGGCTGTCCACGTGTAAGACTGGATTCTCAAACTCAGGGGTCTGTGCTTAAGTTGGCCTACAGTTTGGTGGGATAAATCTGGAGGCAGTGATACAGATATCCTTTGCTGACACCGACGATGGTAACATATAGGGCATTTAAGTTGGAAGGAAAGACATTAGAGACATAGCTTTGACCGATGAGGATGAGCCACCCAAGACAGAGGCTAGTGACATGACAATATTGGGTCAAATGGCTCAACTCCAGGGATGACAGGATGAGAACTAGACCCAAGGCCTCCTGACATCTGGCCAAGGCTTTTTCCCTTCGTTGTCACCGCCCATGTGCCTTGAACAATGCCTAGCAGATGAAAAGTACTTAGTTAATTGTAATAATTAAATAATGAGCTCTGGTGGCATAGTGGTTAAGAGTTGGGCTGCTCATAGTCAGCAGTTTGAAACTACCAGCTGTTCCATGGGAGAAAAATGAGGCTTTCTGCTCCCATAAAGATTTATAGCTTCGGAAACCCTGCATAAGGTGGCTGTGAGTTGGAACCAACTCCACAGCACACTACCACCACAACCAATAATTAAATGATTTATTTCTTTAATCCATGGCAAAGGGCACTTGGCTTCTCCCCAGGCTGACCCGAAGGCTTCCACAGGGCTGGAGAAAGGTTTGGAGATGAAGGTGGTGGGGTCACAGAGATTTCAGGGTCAACGCTAAGAAACAAAGGGTCTCCAGGCTCATCCTGAGTGATGCTCCTCCAGGGCAGCTGAGGTAGACTGGTTGGGGTATTAATTGCACACAGATGCTAGAGGACTATGGGCCAAGATCTCATCCTCTTTTGAGGCCCTCACTAACTTATCTATAAGATGGGAATGATGATGCAGACCCCACCACTGTTCTGTCCTGAGAAGTACATGCTCAGTATAAGGACACACACCTGGACTGAGGCTTCTAGGGCCATCTTGGATGTGCCCTCACCCATAAAAGGAGAGCTAGACTGACCCAGATTTCCAGAGATCTCATGAAAAGAGGAGAGAAGTCATACTATCACTCCCACTAAAGACAGAATGTATATATCAACGCAAACATCGTGACTGGCAAGAAGAGCCCTCCTGGAAGGAGGGAACTGGTGAGAATTGGTGGTAGTGGCGGTGGTGGTGAGCCGTGGAATCAGGTCCGACTCACAGCGACCTTGTATAGGGTTTCCGAGGCCATAAATATTTACAGGAGCAGAAAGCCTCATTTTTCTCCCATGGAACAGTTAGTAGTTTAGAACTGCTGACCTTGAGGGTAGCAGCCCATCTCGTAACCACTACGCTACCAGAGCTCCTTATGATGGAAATTAGGCAGAGGCATACAGGTGCCTAACTGACCTCAGAGTCATTAGGAAGACCTGGACATTTGACAAGAGAAGGCCTCAGTCAGGCCAGCTTCACCTAAGACCTTCAGGAGCTATTAGATGTGAGCCACCAAGGAGAGAGTGAGTGTGTGTGAGAAATCTTCTCAGAGAACCAGGAGAGATGGAGCCTACGGTGAAACACACCTGCAAAGCATTGATAAGATGCCGGTCCTCCTGGCTTGTCAGGAACAAGGGGGTAATCCCAGCATCTGAGAGCTTCAGCATAGCCTCTCTGAGTTGTGGGGATGCTGTCGTGGGTTTGTTGCTGAAGAAAACAGCCACTTTCCTCATCAGGAATCCGCTCCGTACTCGCTTAAAGGTATTTCTGGCCACGAACGACATAGCGGTTTCCAGGCTCTGTTGCTTGGACGTCAGAGCTACCTGGAGGTTCTTGATCTTGTCCAAGAGCACCGACTTCTTCTTGGAGTCAGCAAACCGGATCTCAGTGGTCACCTCGTTGTTATAGGTGACCACAGCCACACGGGCTCCCCGTGGGCAGTTGCTCTCAGCAATGGTCAAATCACCCACAACCTTCAAAAGAACATCTCTCATCCGGCTAAACGTGTCCTGGGTGACCCCCTCGGAGGTGTCTAAAGCAAAGGCTAGTTCCGTTGGGAAGACGGGGCATTCGAGTGGCCCTGTGGGAAGTGGGGGTTTTCAAAGGCACATTTTATTTACTGGACTAGAAATTCTTCTTTACTCAGAAGAAAATCAAGCCACCAGAATCAACTTACCATAGCAGCAAGCTATAAAAGAAACAAAGAGAAAGATGAAAGCTATGAGACCATGTGAGAATTCCAAATATAAAAATCAAATGTGTCACACACACTCAAACCAAACAAACAGAAAAATCAAGTACTTACGGCACTTATCTCTGATGCTTTGGACCAGGCCACATTGCTTTAAAAAGAAATAAAAGAATAAGTTCAAGGAGGCTAGAAAGAGGCTTACAAAGAAATGATCCATTTTGGACATGAGCGACTTACATCAATGGAGTCTCCTCTGTTGCCTTTGTGGCCCTGTAGAACCAAGGAAGAAACGGGTTAGAATTGTAGCAGAAGTACCAGAGGTGGGATTTAGAAGAACCATCTGTGGCTCCCAGAACATGACAGAGGAGGTAAAGGTGGGCTTTGGGTAACCTTAATCATTTAGAAGAAATCACTCTATACTCCTTATAAATTTGCCTTTACTACTTGAAGAGGAAACATGAGAAGACTTTCAGAACATAAGAGTCTCCCTTGTGAGGCCATTTGACTTTTGAAATTACTCCCACCACTGAGACCATTAATGTAAACCATACAGTTGACCCTGACCGTGGCTTCTCCTGAGTGAGAGAACTTGCTTCTACTTTTTTCCTTCATGCATCCGTTTCAGAGGCCCGGCTCATAGGAGTTGCTCGGCTAACCTTCCCCTTCATCTCGAAAGTATCCCAGCTGGATTCCACCACCAAGATGGTCCAGGGATAGACCTGCAGTTGCCCTCAGCATCAGGTCCCAAAGCATTGCCAATCTAATGGTCAAGAAGTCACTCTGGGCCAAGTGAGCGTCTTTTCATGTGGCAATTTCTACTCATTTAATCTCCTATAGTCAATAAGCTAGCGTTAAGTTCCTAATTAAGCACTCCACTGGCCTAAAGGTAGCAATGGGATCCATCTAACTCAGTCTTCTTTTCCTGTGTTCAACCAAACTAACTCCTTAATCCTTCCTGCTAGGGGGAGCTGCTTACTTCCTGAGTTATATCTTTTCCATTCTTCTTCGAACGTCATCAATTTCAACATGGGAGATAAGACAAAATTCAAATATTGAAATAAAGATATTGGTCATAAAGAGATGATGAAAGGACGGCAGAGGATGTCATCCTGGCTTCTGAGGGCAGGGTCATTTGTGGTTTTTAAGCCATGAGTCAGGAACACCCTTGGGGATTTTATAAGTCAGAAGAAGCATTTTCCAAGCCACAATCTGATGTAATTATGGCTATTTCTTCAATATACAAGTAGGAGGTATTTGCATTGGTTCTCCCTTGTTTCACCTGTAAACAAACCTATACCAAAAAGCTATAAAGGCAAATTATAATACATCCTAGACTAGAGAGTATCACAATCAAGTTTTCTTTTAAAGTTTCTAAGCCTCAAAAGTCCTTTCTCCAGTGTGGAATCAAAAGAGAAGTGATTAAAACAAAAGAAGCAAGAATAGAAAACAACATGATACTTACAGATGGTCCTGGGTAGCCAGGGTCTCCCTTCTGCCCAACTGTCCCTGGAGGTCCAGAATTTCCCTAAAGAAGACAGAACAAACATTGTTAAACTGTGGCCGGACAACATAAACTTCCCAACTGCTGAAGTTGGAGGAGATGGGAAAGGTGATCTTGTCTAACTTCCTCCCACTCTCCTTCAAGAGACTCAAGTGTCCCCAGAACTTAAGAATAGTGACAGGTAAAGTTGATATGCATCTCCCCACATCTGTGTTCCCTAGTAGATTAAAGTAAGGTAGATGCTGGTCCCAGAACTACTAATAAGAGAATTGCTAACTGGAAATTAAATAGGTCAGTATCGATAATGAATAATCAATCTAATGCTTCCAAACTCTACCTTGAAGAGTGCATGAAACAGTTTGTCATCTGTACTGATCAAATGAATAGGGTAATTATGAGAGTTAAAAAATAAAATACAACTGGATTTTAGGCTAAAACTAACTTAGAAATGTTGACCGGTATCTAGACCACAAATTGCTAATGTGAGACTCAGAGCTCGATTGACTCTAAGACCAGAAGAATTAGGTGGTACCCGGCTACTGCTGACTGTTCTAAAAGGAATCACAATAGGAGGTCATGGATAGAGTAGGATGAAAATGTGGAACCAAACTCAAAATCATACAAAAGACCAGGCTTACTGAGTTTGGTAGAACCCCCTGAGACTATGTTCCTTAGATATTCTTCAAGACTGGATCTAAACTCACCCCTGTGGCTAAATATTCAGGCAAAGGATAGAAAGGCCAATTAAGGGAACACTAACTTCAAGGAGCTCTGGTAGCGTAGTGGTTATGAATCGGGCTGTGAACCGCAAGGTCAGCAGTTTGAAACTACCAGCTGCTCTGCAGGAGAAAGATGAAGCTGTCTGCTCCCGTAAACATTTACAGCCTCGGAAACCTGTTCAGGGTTGCTATGGGTCAGAACCGACTCAAGGGTACTTAACAACAACAACTTCAAGGAGGATGCATTCATTAGAACAATAAGAGAGCTTTAGCCTAGGGATAAAGCTCAGAAGGCAGGTAGAGATAGGGAAGTAGGATGAAAGGAACTGGTAAACACAGGGAGAAAGTGGGAAGAGCTTCTGTTACGCAGTGGGGAATGCAATCACTGTTGCAAAACAAAATGTGTATGAATTGTTCAACAGCAAATCAATCTGTTCTTTAAACTTTCACTGAGTCACAATAACATTTTCAATTAATTGTCTTTGAAATCAGAAATTCATTTTCACAAGGTGGGCCATAGAGTGCCATCTTAAAAAGATGAGCAAACATCCACTGAAGAGATGAGAGTTGAGAACCAAGAATGGCTTCCGGAAGAGGAGTCTCATCAGGCAGAGAGTCAGGAGCAGCTCTGGTACCTAGTTACACCCTATTACCTCACCATACGGTGCGCACAGCCATTGTGTCTACAGAATGACACCCACTCTGGCACCATGCTGGGGTGACCTTAAGTATTGACTGACTCCTGAAGTTTCTCAGAGGAAGGGGGCCCTTGGGAACTCCTCATAACGGGCGCATGGCCGAGAGAAGACAGCTTCAGACCACAACCATGGGGCAGCTTCTAAGAACACTGGTGTGCAGCTTGTTGTTGTTAGTGCCATTGAGTCAGTTCCGACTCACAGCGACCCTGTATAGGGTTTCCAAAGAGCGGCTGGTAAGCTTGAACCTCTGACCTTGCAGTTCAAACCAACTTCACAGTCCAGCACATTAACCCACAGCACCATACCAGGACTCCTGTGGGGCTTACGATTCCTTTTTTTCAAACCGGACTATCACTGGCCAAATTACAGGTGAAGAAGGATGAGGTTGATAGATGCATTAGAGACATCAGCGCTTAATCAAACTGTCTTTCAAGTGCTCACCTCCCACCTACAGCCAAGTTCAGACAGACTTACCCGTCGACCTCGGATCCCCTTGGGCCCTGGTGGTCCATCTGTCCCAGGCTCACCCGGAGTGCCCTGGGAAGAGAGTCAAGGAGAGGCACATGAAGTTTGGGCATGGGACAATCTAGTGGAGGGTCTTGAGCAGCTCCTCCAATGGTCAACTCTGGTTCACTTTCCCTTTGGTTGCCAGTGTACTTGGTGGTGTTGGCTGTTGGAAGTTAGTTTGCTATTATCAGTTGCCACTGAGTCCTTCTCCAATTCATGGTGACCCCATGCATAACAGAATTGGACTGTTGTGGTCCATGGGCTTTCATTGGCTAATTTTCAGCAGAGCACCAGGTCTTGCTTCCTACTTGTCTTAGTCTGGAAGCTCCACTAAAACTTGGTAAACACGGTAGCTAGCAACATGCAAACATCCACTGACAGGTGGGTGGTGACTGCACATGAGACACATTTGACAGAACTCAGACCCAAGAAGGCAAGAATTCTACTCCTGAACCACCGCTGCCTTCCAAACTCCAGTGCCTTCCAGTCTCCACTGCCTTCCAGTCTCCACTACCTTCCAGTCTCCACTGGCTTCTAATCACCACTGCCTTCTAATCACCACTGCCTTCTAATCACCACCCAACCTCCACTGCCTTTCAGTTGAACCGCCACTGCCTTTCAGTCTTAGTTTACTTAACTGAAAATGTCACATAGATTCTAGCGTTTTACAAAGTACTTTTATGGCAGTGCCATTTCATCCAATTCACACAAACATCATGACAAGGTGTGATGTCATCACTATCTAATAGAGGAGGGAACTATGTCTCAGAAAGGTCAGGGGCTCTTCCCGGTCACCTGATTTGCACGTGGCAAAGCCAAGTTCAGAAACAACATACTGGAATGTTCAGTACATGGGGCAAAGCAGACCCCTTAAAACACCTGGTGTTCTTTTACCACTGGGGAATAGTTACCTTGGGTCCAGGATATCCAGGGAACCCTCGTTCTCCCTACAAAAGAAAACTGAATGATTCAACTTGGCCTTGATATCAATTCATCTAAAAGAAATTCCTCTTGAGAAGAAAAACCTGTCTGTAGAGTCAGAAGAGGGGAAAAAAAGTCACTAAAACACAACTGTTGTTGTTGTTAAGTGCCTTCAAGTCAGTTCTGACTCATAGCAACCCTGTATAGGGTTCCTGAGGCTGAAAATCTTGGTGGGAGCAGAAAGTCTCATCTTTCACTCTCAGAGCAGCTGGTAGATTTGAACTGTTGACCTTGAGTTAACAGCTCAACTCAAAAGCCGCTATATTACCAAGGCTCCTTAAAACATGATTAAATGCAAGAAAATAATCCTTTCAAAATCTGACACGTCCAAAGTTGTTCTTGGAGGCCCTGGCATGGGCTGTCTAAGAACTTGAGTGGATACCTACCTTCTTGCCTCTGCGTCCTTCGCTGCCCACTCCATCCCGTCCATCGTCTCCCTAAGAGGGGAAACATGGTATCAGTGCAGCTGTCATGTTGGGGGCATGCCAAAACCGTGCCTTTCTCAGGCCACTGCCTTCTAAGCAAAGGGGGCTTGGGTCCCTGAAATGTTCCAAGATCAAGGTTCAAAAGCACTTCCTGTTCCTGCCTGTCTTCCAGGTGGAAAGCAAGACCATGTCCCTAAGAAGTGAGTGTGGAGGAATCCCATAGCAAATGGTGTTGGTAGGCTCAGACTACATATACTACTAGTAGCTTTTGATAAAATATTGTTTTGATGTAGAACCAAAGACTCACAGAACCAGACAATGTTGGACTTGAAAGGCGTCTTGAAGGCCCTCTTGATTCTCTGCATCTATGAGTCTTTGATTCTGCTCAGACAACCATCTTTCTGTAACCCATCCTTCAATCCCTTCTTGGTCTTCTGGGCTCGAATCCTGTCCCCTTACCCCAGTGTCCTTTCAGGCATCTAGACTGTCCTCCTTCCCCAACACAGCCCTCCTGAAACTTAACAAGCCAATTGATCCCTATCAAGCTCTCAGGCAGGGCCTTCAGGACTGAGCACCATTCATGGGCAACAGTTCTCACTGTTTTTCAGTCATATCCTCAGTGCTATAAGAAAAATCAAGATAAACCATAAACCTGTAACTGTCAAGTCAATTTCAACGCATAGCAATCCTACAGGACTGAGTAGAACTGCCCCAAAAGGTTTCAAGGACTCTAATCATTATGGAATCATATTGCGCCATCTTTCCCCCATGGAACGACTGGTAGGTTCAAACCTCCTACCTTTTGGTTAGTAGACAGCACTTAGTCACGGCGCCACCAGGGCTCCCAATACTACAAAAAGCAGAGTTCAAGTCTTCTCTATTTGTAATCTACCCCCAATGTGCAAGGACACAAAGCTAACTCAGAGCAGGGTCCTAGGTCCTCATTCCTTGACTTCTTCATAGTGACCCCAGGTCCTAAGTGTACAGTGATCTTACCGTCTCCCCACGAGAGCCACGATTCCCAGTGCCTCCCTGTGGTCCTGGCTCTCCAGGTTCACCCTAGGAAGAAAAATAAGACTGAGACTCCAGTGGTCTAAGACAGATTTCAAGCCCTACTTGCATTCTGGGTGATGTCACAAGGAAGGCTGCCACAAGACGCTAGGGATCCCCTTACTTCACCTTTAGGTTCTGTTGAGCCCTTTTTTTTTTTTTTTTTTTTAATTTCAACATTCATATGTGAACTCCTGGGAAAGAATCTAGAAAGCTTTGTGTTTGTTCTTTTCATCATCATTATAGAGGTGGAAGTGTTCTGGTAGGAAAGAGAAACATCAGTGGAGGAAAGAGGTACAAAGTCAGTGGGCTCAGAACTCAGCCGAGAAAGTCTTCCCAGCGCGAACACCCCATGGGCTCATGAGAGGGCTCTGGAGTCCCGGACACCTTTCTCTTCCTGATAAAATGTTTAAACAAGCAGCAACAGAAGCATCTATGCTGTTCATTGGCTGCTGCCTCTACTGTACCACACTCTCTCAGGTCTTAAGCAAAATGGTTTACCAGATGGGAGGGACCTTAAACGTCCAACAAAGATGCTAAGCAGGTTTCTTAAGAAAATTATCATTACCATGAAATAGGAGGGGACTTTGAAACGGTTAGGGAAAAATGCCTTTCTTATTTTTTTTTAACTTTTTTTTTTACTTTGGGGGTGGGGAGATGTAAGGAGTTACAGTTAAGACTGGCTAAGTCAAGGCTAGCCCTAGGACTTCACTTACTGTTAGGTGTATGGTTAGGACTAGGATTAGTGTTAAAGTTAGGAGCTGGGATTGAGCTAAGAGTAAGGCTCACGCTAGCTTTAGGTTTATGGTTAGCTTTGTTTTTATTTGTTTTCATTTTTCTCTTGAAATCTATTTGATTTTCTCTTCATTTGGAAGTTCTGTAACTATATTATCTCCTCCTTTTTACTTTATCTTGTAATTCTATTTTTTCCATGAACTTTTCGAAGCCCCCTCATATGCTGTCTTCTCAGATCCCTTATAATTCATTGCAGCTCTCCTCAACGTGGACAGAAAGCAGGTTCCCAGACAGTCTTCAGATAACAAATCTGATGCTATCTACACACGGTCAGCAGAGAACCATGCTCACAGCCCCTGTGATGTCTCTGAAGGCTCAGAGGACCCTCCAGCCTCCCAGGCCCCTCACATCCAAGGCACAGATGACTCCACCAGCTGAAGGGACATTCCAGAATGCCAACGCTCTGAGCCTTGGCTGTGCATCCCCATTGGTGGGGAAAGTCATCCCACTGGTCAAGATGTCTCTCAACAGTAGGGCTGCTGCGGGAAAGACTCCTAGTGAGCAGGAAGTCTGTCCAAACTATACAGATGGACACACAGACAGATGAGGAAGAGGTGAAGCCTGTCCTTGGGAAATGAGTCCTACATTGCTGCAGACGAACCTTTCTTCCCAGGGGACCGGTCCTGCCACGTTCTCCAGGAGCCCCTGCCAGGCCGCCACCTCCCTGGAGTAGAAGGAGACAGGTTGTCAGTTAAGTATGCAACCATCTGAGGAGACGTCTCTCTCAGTGCCTCGATCCCACCTCTGCCCCAATTAGAGTTCAGTTGCCAGAGTTCAGTCGCCAAGCAGCTGTGGCCTGCGTTGCCCATGACTCCCCAGGACACGGCAGAGCACCCGTACTGGACACTCAGTGTGAACACTCACAGCCGTGGTTCTTCAGTCTTGGGCGGGGTTGGGGGGGACTGCACAAATGCAGTAACAGCATGGCCTCCTACACTGGTGCTCACAAACTAACTGCAGTTACTAATGGGTATTATTTAATGGACATGATTCATGAACACATCAGAGTCATGGTGTGGTATTGTAGGATAAGCACCGGACTGCTAGCCACAAAGTCGGCAGTTCAAATACACCAGCTGCTCCTCAAAAGCCCTATATGGGGTCACTATGAGTCAGAACTGATTCGATGGCACAAACATCAATAGACATATTGAAGGGACCAGTCCCTGGAGAAGGACATCATGCTGAGTAAAGTAAACAGGCTCAGGGAAAAGAAGGTGGGCCCTCAACAAGATGGACAGATACAGTGGCCGCAACACTGTGCCTAAATGCAGCAATGATTGGCGGGCTGGCCTAGGGCTGGGCGGTGTTTCATTCCACTGGATGCAGGGTCGCTGTGAGTTGGGACTGATTCAATGGCACCCAACAACCTCAATATACATATCCCTAGGCAGCCGTCCAGAAGATAAGCACTCTTCAGACCCCTCACAATAAGCCCCTGGCATGTATAGTGGGACAAAAGAACAATTAATGAAGGAAAATAACTCTTAAAATGTGGTGCAAGATGCCGAGTCCAGAAATGATCCTAACATGGAAAACCAGAGCCGATGGAGTTTTTGTTGTCGTTGAGTACCGTGGAATCGGTTCCGACTCACAGCGACCCTGCACAGGGTTTCCAAAGCTGTAAATCTTTATGGGAGCAGAACACCTCATCTTTCTCCTGCGGACCCGCTGCTAGTTTCGAACTGCTGCCCAACTCGTAACCACTACATTACCAGAGCCAATGGGGAGTTAGGGATTAATCAATGGTATTGGAGCTCCTGGTTAACCTACTTGAATAGCTTTGCCCCTGTTGTTGTTGTTAAGTTCCATCGAGTCAGTTCCGACTCATAGCAACCCTATAAAGGTTTCCTGAGGAGCAGCTGGTGAGCTTGAACCACCGACCTTGCTGTTCAAATTAAATCCTGATAGATTAAAACTTAAATCAACGTCACACACACAGATACACAAGCTTTGAAACTAGGTATTAATCAGAATTCAAGCTTGGGGAGGAGTTTCTAAGCAAACAGCAGTCTTCATAAACTGCCTGCCAACTTGGTAATAAACTATTTCTGTGCGTTTGTGTAGTAATGGGCCAGGGGGGTGGCCAGTAAATGAGTCACTACTTTTATAACAAATGTCAGACTGACCCCTGAATGTCATGTCACGCGGGAGGAAAGCCCACAGGGGAAGAGATGTGGCAGCTGGCCCCCAGCGCTGCAAGAACATTCTGCTTGTTCATCCTTATCGCTGAGATAAATACTGACATCTGAGGTCACAGAACGGTGAAGTGATGTTTTTAGTATTGAGCTTGAGGATAGGGGACTGACTCCTTAACAAAATAACCTCATTGCTGTCCCTGGGAACCAAGCCTCAAATGTTTGGCATTATCTAGGAGTTTGGGTAGAAATCATTTGATTTGGGGCCCCTGGGTGGGGAAAACAGTTTGATTTGATTTGATTGCTAACCAAAAGACTGGTGCTAAGATTACATCCAGAGGTACCTAGGCAGGAAGATCTGTTCATCTCTTTCCAAAAAGTCAGCCATTGAACACCCTATAGCCAACGGTTCTACTCTGGAGCCCACAGGGTTGGCATGACTCAGAGCTGATTCGGTTGCAACTGGTTTCATTAGGTTTTACACAGTTTTACGCGATCGCATCTCATTTATCACTCGCTGACCTACATTTCAGAGAGTAGCCATTTATTCATCTCTACTGGTGTGGTGCTGTAGGATAAGCACTCAACTGCTAACCATAAGGTCGGCAGTTCAAAGCAACCCTCCTTGGAAACCTGTGCAGGGTTGATACGAGTCAGAACTGACTCAATGGCACTCAACAATAGCAATAACACCATCTCCCTACTACACCTATTGAGGTTGGTGAGACTTTAGCTCACATACTTTGGACATGTTATCAGAAGGGGTCAGACCCTGGAAAAAGTGCATCATTTTAGAGGGTCAGGAGAAAGAGGAAGACCCTCAGTGGGATGGGCTGACACAGTGGCTACAACCATGGGCTCAGATGTAGCAACAACTGTGAGGACAGTAGAGGACCAGGCAGTGTTTTGTTCTGTTGTGTATGGGGCTCTTAGGAGTGGCAGATGACTCAACAGCACCTAATAACACCAACAACACTTCCCTACTATCTATTTTTTTGCTATTTACATCAGGGTCATTTCTGGGCTATGCATTAGGGTTTAGCAGTTTCTATGCACTGAAAACAGGGGTCTCTGACTTCGTTGGGGTCTATTAGCCACTCTCTCTGAGATCCGGGGTCTAGGCTGCCCAAGAGTGGGCTAAGGGAAAGATCTGTCTATAGTAACATCAGCCCAGAAACTCTTCACCCTCATAGAGAAGCACCTATCTGCTCTACTCAGGAGAGGTGGTGGGATGCAGACAGACTCACCCGAGGTCCAGGGATGCCTTGCTCACCAATCAGACCTGGAGGACCAGTGGGACCAGATGGACCCTGCAGAGGTAAAAGGTCAGCATTACTGCTGAGTTCAATGAACTCCATGAGGCATCTGTGTAATGCACAGTGCAGAGCCTGTCCACTATGTAAAAACCCCATAGAAACGCAGCAGCTGCTGCCTTAACTACAATCACAGCAACCTCACTCCATAACACGAGTGTGAACATTATACAAATATATGGAGAAAATACTCAAATATTCATACTCAAGTATTCATGGTAGTGGCATTCACAATAGCCCAGAGGTGGAAACAACACCCATCAACTATGAATAGACAAACTAAATGTGGTCAATCCACACAATGGAATATCATTCAGACACAAAAAGGATGACTCTTGAAGACATATCCTAAGTGAAGGAAATCAGACACCCAGAGCACATATTTTAGGATTACACTGACATGGGCTATCTAAGAACAGGCAAATCCACAGAGACAGATGAATTTGCCTATTCTAGATATTCTAGAAGCTAAAATGGGGTGGGGGCAGTCCATGAAGAAGGACATCATGCTTGGCCAACGAAAAAGAGAAAGAATGCCAACGAGATGGATTGGCACCGTGGCAACAGCAGTAGGTTCAAGGTTAACCACGTTTGTGAAGGTGGAGAAGGAATGGGCAGTGCATAAGCTCATAATGAGTCAGAACTGACTCGACAGCACCTAAAGAGACAAAAAGCCAACTGGTGGTTTCCAGAGGCTGAGGGAGGGGAGAATGGGAAGTAAGTTTTCAATGGTCTGGCACCTTCTTTTAGGGTGATGAAAATGTCTTGAAAGTTGATAGAGATGGTAGTTATACAACAATGTAGATATAGTAATGCTATGAATTGAACACATGAAAATGGTTAATTGTGTGTTATATGAATTTTACCTCACGTTATAAAAAATGCAAAAGCATCTGGGAAGCTATCACAAGGCATGCAGTCACTTGAGAGGGTACAGACCTGTGCACCTCTGGTCCCCTGTTCTCCTGCAAAGCCAGGCTGGCCTGCATTGCCCTTGTTGCCCTGGAAACAAAAGGAGATGCCAAGAGCAGTCAGAATGTCTTATATCAGCACCAGGTCTTCATCCTACAAGTCTTTCTAGACCAGGAGATGGGGTACAGGTGGCTAATCCATGGGTAACTGGGAGCATGAAGCTGGCTGTCATTCGTACTTTTATAGTTGTTTCATACTCTGGACTTACTTTTCCTCAAGACAGCTTCATAAATGAAGGATCATTTAGACTTGAAACCTCATCCCACAGGTGAGAAACTGAGGCTGCAAGAGGTTTGCCCATGACCAGACAAGTGAGCGCATACAGAGAAGAGATGTAAGACCTATATCCTTGGTCATACTCCCGTATCCCCCCCACATCCACACTCAGCCATGTCCACAGGTCTTCACAGAAACTGCTCGTTTCAAGGGAATGGTAGGGAAGAGGGTAGAGCTACAGAGCCCAGAAGTCTCAGGGGGAGAGCATTTTGTATTCATGGATTGAGTTGCATCTGGACCCCTGAACAGTGTCCTGTGACTTCAGGAAAGAGGTGTTCACCTTCAAGGCTTACCTTACTTCCTGCTGGTCCCCTTCGGCCAAGACCACCCTGCAAAGGAGAAGTCACACAAACTGTGAGAGGGATGGGATTGCTGGGGACCCATGGAGGAAAGCTGATGTCAGATGGAGAAGTCACACAGATTGTGAGGGGGATGTCACACAGAATGTGAGGAAAGTTACACCAACTGAGAGGGAGAGTCATACAGACTGTGTGGAAAAGTCACAGACTTCAGTAGGGAAATCACAGAGATTGTGAGAAGAAGTCACACAGAATGTATGGGGAAGTCACACAGATTGAGAAAGGAAGTCACCAGACTGTGAGGGGAAGTCACCCAGACTGTGAGGGTGATGGGATTGCTGGGGACCCAGGTTAGGGAGCGGGTGTCAGAAGGCGAATTCACACAGACTATGAGAGGGTACAGAGCTGCTAAAAGCTCAGGTTGGGCTGCTAATCTCTGTGACTTAACCTGCCGTCCTCAGAGGATGGCTCTGGACACCCATGGGAATGCAAGAGTCTCTGCCCAGGCAGGAACGGGAGCACCCACAGAAGAAGACCACCTTCCTCCTGCCCTTCATCTTAGAGACTTTCCCTTCCATGCTGCCCTTTGCCAGTCAAACCCAAACGGAAGTTCTGAGGACCACTGCAGACCTGCCAGGCAAAATAGTGACTTCTGGCTGCACAATCCATCTCCCAATTTCAAATAAGGAATGTGATGGGAAAATGTCAACTTGTCTCTCTTTTTTTTTTTTTCTTTTTTCTAACTGTTGTGATAAATAATGAGATGCATTAAATACAGTGGAAGGGACTCCCAAATTATCTAACATATCCTGGCCAAATAGAAATGTCTTCAGCTGAGTGAAGGATCCAAGGTTCACGTGTGTAGACCTGGGGCCTGCCGGTGGGCCCCGTGACTTGGCAGCATCTTCCTCGATGCTCGAGAGGTGACCCTTCCTTCAGATAAACATGGGCTCATTCCTACTCTGGGACTGTTTCATCTGTGGCTGGAGGGGTCAGGTGAGAACCCATGAATGTCCTGGGTACCATCTCAAGGTGGATGTTAGCTGCCGTGACTCATGGCATCCCAATATGCAAAGAAGAAAATGTTGCCCGTGTCCTACAGTGAGCCATAGGATTTCCAATGGCTCATCTTCAGAAGTTCATCACCAAGCCTATCTTCCTAGTCTGTCTCCACTGAAACCTGTCCAGCATCAGCACACACAGCTTCATTGACTGATGGGTGGTGACTACCATGAGGTGCGCTGGCCAGGAATCGAACCTAGGTGTTTCCAAGGGCAGGAGTTGGTATTCTGGAAACTATAACATGGCAGTTCTATCAGGGGGCTTGGTCCATCTGCTGTATCATCCCAAGAACAAGGTCCATGGGATGCCCATTTGATCACTCCTCGCTTTAGGGTCAGATGCTTCATGGAAGACCTTGGTCTCCTTTCTTGAATGGCGCATGGCCAGTGGAAGGGTGTGGGAGAGATCACTCCCCTCTTCCATAAAGCAACAGTCTGACCTGGCCCTCCCGTAGGATCATGGGAAAGAATGATAGAGGCTACCGGCACTCTAAGCTGCCTTGTTCAGGCTAAGGTCTCACAGAAGCTGAGGGTGGTAGGAGGGAAGGACATCGCTCATTTTGGGATCAGCCTGGTGCTAAGGGACAGGGCAAAAGGCCTCAGGGAAGAATCAAATCTACAGGAGTCTCTGCTGCACCAAATTTAAGTCCAAGTTTCTACCCTGTGCTCAGAATTTAAAAGAACTGTTTGTACTACTGGACTTTCAGCCTTTCCATGAAAGTATGTTTGGGCTCCGTTCAAGAACTGAGAGATAACAGCACATTCTGACCAATGATTGAATACTTCCTCAATTCTTTTTCGTTACACAATTCAACTGCATCATCTCAAACTAATGCTCAAACATTTTCAAATAACATTTTAGAAATATACGTTTGCTTTTGGGTTTTAAAAGCCAAATTGAAAACCAAACACACTGACTTTGAAGCAACTCCGATTCATGGCTATGTAATAGGGCAGAGTAGAATCGACCCATTCTATGGCGCTATGATTGGGTTAGGGATGAGAGTTGTTCTTTTAAAACCTCCTCACCCTAGAGAGTCTTCCCATTCAGGTCCAACTGGTGATACCCTCAATATCCTTGCTGTCACCTGGGGAATGACTGGGAAGCTGGTTTCTGAGCAGATACCAGCCTTAGGTACCCACCACCAGCCTGGTCTCCCTCGAACACTGACAAACGTCCACACCACCACTCCCGTGCAGGGACCACCTCCCCCAGCCACTGGGTCCAAATTCTCTGTGTCTTAGGGTCCTGGGAGCTTCTAAATAACCTCATAAAATCATTGATATCACCTTACCCCAAGCAGTTCTTCAAAAGACTCAGTGTACAGAGATCCAATGAGCTATTCTGTAGCAAACATTTCTGAAGCGTCTAGAAAACGCAGTCCCAAGATGCCCTAAGCTAGGAAATTGAAACTCATTCTGTTGGTGTTTCAGCAGCACAGGAAAAAAAAAAAAAAAAAATTACAGAAGCAACATCTTTAGTCTTCCTGTCCCTTCTTGCTTCCCTCCCCTAATATTTCCATTCAGATTTTGGAAACATTTATTGGGATAAAACCTGGTTAAGTATTTGAAATCAGCAAAGGTATTCATTTATTCAAAGTGTTTGTTTGTTTGTTTGTTTGTTTGTTTGTTTGTTTGTTTGTTTGTTTGTTTGAAGGAACCGGATAGGCAGAGGGAAATGAAAGAGGATAGAGTAAATTATAAGAAAAAATTTCTATGTGCAAATAGATTTGGGCAACCATGCCTTCAGAAACCCCATAAGGGACCCTCAGTAAAATGTGGAAGAGCAACTAGGTTTGGCAGATTTGTAGGGCTAGTGCAGAAAATGGCATCAGAATCTTCCTGTAGCCCCAAGACATACTCACCTCCTTCCCTGGTTCTCCTGGGCCTCCAGATACCCCGTCTCTCCCAGGGAGGCCCTGGTAAGGAAGAAATGATGTGAGATTCTCACCTTCAGGAAAGAATGCCTAACTCTTGAATCTCAGACTATACTGGAAAGGGAACAGATACACAGAGAAAGTGTCCAACTGCCAGCAGATAAAGGTCATTAGACCTTGTTGTGCCTTGGCCTCCACAAGCACTTTCTGTACTGAATTTTTACACAAATAACGCTCGTGTTATATGGTTTTTGCAAAGTGTGAAACCCTCTCCTGTTAGTTTCCTGTGTGTGCTATGCTTGTTATATGTGGGAGTGAGTGTATGT